ACCCACCTCGGAAGGATGGAAGGCTGAGTCAACCCTGAGCCGGTGAGATTTGCACAGCCGAACTGCAGATAGCAGTCAGCTGAAGTGGCCTGCAGTGCTGCATTTAACCACTGCGCCACATCTGCTCCTTTAAAGGGGTCTTGAAAAAATATGTATAACAATGTTTCCCCTATTCCTAATTTCTCAATCTAATTCCTAATGCAGCCAGTCTTGTTTTAACAAAAAAAAGAAGAAAAAGGGATCCTTTCTATCCATCATCTCTTACCCTCTTAGAAGTTTCCCTTCTTCTCTTTTCCATTTGCCTCCATTGGGTCCTTAGCTACGTCTTCCATAGTCAACCCAGCCATTATTTCCAAGGCCACAATTATTTTTGGTGCCCATCCACCTCCAAATCTGCCAAATTCTTCCCATCTTTTCATTGGGGCCACACAGTTGTGTCACCCCCGATGGTCCTCCGTAGTGACCCACAACTTTGCACAGATGCCACCACCTTGCAACCAGCCAACCGATCTGGAGTCCTGCAACCTTCACGGTGACCAATTGTCTTTTGGGCGATTTCCTTCTCCTAGAGAGTCCATCACTTTGTCGGTGGTCTCAAAAAGGCCTCGGGGTTGCTACGGACCACCACCCAGGAGCTGGAGAAGGAAGAGGGTCTGGAGACCTTGCAGGTAAGGACGTGGGGGGGTCCACCGGAGGTTGAGGGCAGAATTAGTCTCTGTGGGATCCTTGGGGCTTTCTGGGCAGAAAGGGGAGCCCGGGTGCCCCAGAAGGTGGAGAAGGGCCAGGCAGGCTCGGGGTCAGCTGGGAAGGGGCTGCAGGGGCTGGTCTTGCAATAGACCTCCTTCCCCCCACCCTTAGGTACCCCATGCTCCACTTAACAACCCATGCACTCACTTAATGACTGCAACAGGGGGAGCAGGGTTTGGGCTCATTTGGAGAGGCAGCCACATCGGTGAATTGCTGTACAGTGGCCACAGTTTGTGACCGTAATGGGCAAGGTCCGCTGTGGTCATAAATCAAGGACTGCCAGGACATGCAGCCTGGGCCAAAGCCGTTGAAAGAGAAGCGTCCTGCCCTCCGTGAACTTGGCTGACCGCTTGGCTTCTCCCGCAGGCGGTGGAGCGCCAGGTCAGCCGGCACCGGCAGCTCATGCAAGAGGTTCTGCGCGACGCCCAGCTGGTCAGCCTGCAGCGGGAAGGAGGGGCCACCCTGGCCAGGCTGCGGAAGGAGGCCGCCCGGCTCGGCTTCACTCCTGACGTCCGGTAGGAAAGCCAAGTCCTCGGGGCGGTTCTTGAAAGGAGGAGGAGGAGGAGGAAGAAGAAGAAGAGGGGGAGGAGGAGGAAGAAGAGGAGGAAGAGGAGGAGGAAGAAGTGGGGGAGGAGGAGGNCTGAGCCGGTGAGATTTGAACAGCCGAACTGCAGATAGCAGTCAGCTGAAGTAGCCTGCAGTGCTGCATTTAACCACTGCGCCACCTCGGCTCTTCTACACGGCTGTTCAATGATTTATGTGTGATTTATCCTGGAGTTTCTCACTTAAGGAAAAAATAAGACTCTAGTCCCTTCCGTGGCTTTTGGCCTCAAAACCCCAGGCTTCCCCCCACAGCCACCTGGTCCCATGGCTCGGACGTGGTAGGGGATCTTCTTGGCCTTATTTCTCTTGTTTGCTTCTATCCCCCCTTTATTAGTTTTACAAATAATTCAAGGGGGCAAATATATCCGACACATCTTCCTTCCTCTATTTTCCCCACAACAACAACCTTGTGAGGTGGGTTGGGCAGAGAGAAAGGGACTGCTCCGGAGTAATCCAGTGTCCTTCATTCCTAAGGCAGGACTAGAACTCACTGTCTCCTGGTGATTGGTCTACAGTCACCCAGCCGGCTTTCATGCATAAAACCAGGACTAGAACTCACCATCTCCTGGGGATTGGCCCAAACGTTACCCAGCTGGCTTTCATGCGTAAGCAGGAACTAGAACTCACGGTCTCCTTGCAGTTAACTCCAAGTCATCCAGCCAGTTTTCCTGGCTGAGTCAGAACTAGAACTCACCATGTCCTGGGAACTGGACCACAGCCTGGTTTTCATACCTAAGGCAGGGCTAGAACTCACCAGGTGCCACTTTCTAGCCTGTTGCCTTAACCAGCAGGCCAAACCAACTTCCCAGGCCGAATGCTCTGGGAAGAAGCCATCTGCTTGGAGGCCTTTGGTGGGGAAGATCTTGTAGTAGGTGGGAAATCAGCTGTAGGTGGACACAAGGGTGTGTCAGGAGGATCTCCAAAGAGTTGCTTGGAGACTGGATAGAAAGGATCCTTTTTCTTCTTTTTTTGTTAAAACAAGACTGGCTGTATTAGGAATTAGATTGAGAAATTAGGAATAGGGGGAGACTCACATCTCTCTACGTGAGAGTCTTATTTCGCAGAGGCCTCCTGCTTTCTTCTCGTCTTTCTTTCTTTCTTTCCTTCCTTCCTTCCTTCCTTCTTTCTTCCCATCTTTCCTTCCTTCCTTCTTTCTTTCCATCTTTCTTTCTTTCTTGCATAAAGTTTTTTTCTTAAATATACATCGACATTATTGCAAGGACAGTGTGGCATCTGAGCGTTACTCATTTTAATACAAAAACAATATTGATACCAATGAGAATTACTACCTTAATCAAACTTACGTGGTTCTAATGTTATTATACACTTTTTTATGCCAGCACATCGTCCTTCATTCTTCAGTTATTCAGTGTTTGTTGCGCCCTTCCAATAGCATTGTTTTTGAGCATAACTGATAAAAAGCCCTTTTCAGAAATCTCACCTAGCAATAGCAATAGCAGTTAGACTTATATACCGCTTCATAGGGCTTTCAGCCCTTTCTAAGCGGTTTACAGAGTCAGCATATTCCCCCCAG